AAAATTTAAGACAGTCCCAGCTCTTTCTGTTGGAGTGCCTTTTACAGTGCTTGTCACAATGCAGATGTCAGCTTTTGGAAAGTATTTCTGACCCTTCCAGGCAAATACTGGTTGCATCAGTGTTTGTGCTGTGGGCCCAGAGAGGTTGCTGTTTGTTTTTGGAGATGATGATGGTGATGTCTGCAACATGAAGAGGAAGGCAGCGTGCAGGTTGCTGGCTCTGGATGTTCAGTGTTTTAATACTGTTTTGTCATAATCTTTAAAGCAAAAAGGAGAGGATGTGCTAGATGTGGGTGAGATAACAATGTCTATACTACTGTTGTTTTGACTAAATTTAATTTAATGCTTAAATTAGTTTTAGATTAATCACTTTGCCATGTGGATGGGAGCTTTAATTTCACTTAGAATCACAAATGAGCTTGTCTTGGTGGCCAATGCCCTCAAACTGCTGGTGCAGTCCTGAATCTAAATAAGGTTGATATCAGGTGATAGCAGTGACTGGGCAGGGAAATTACCGTGTCCTTTTAGTATTTGTCTTTTATCCTATTTAGTAGCACTGAGCCCTGGCTCAGAGAACTTGTGGGGGTGGTAGATGCTGGGGAAAGGAAGCCTGAAGAGCTCCACTTTCAGTGTGTGCTGTACCTTCACCTATGGGCAGGATCAGATGAATTTGGATACAGATGCATTGTAGTGATCAGGGAGCAGAGAGACACCTCTGTTCCCACCTCTGGCCCCCAAAACCTCACTGTAAAATCAGAATTGCCATGCCCACAGGGGTGGTCCATGGCTGAAGAGAAGCTGGACGAGTTCAGTCCAGGCAGGGAGTTTGTGCCCAGGGAAGTTAGGGCTCATTTTTCCAGCACCATTTCGTGCTTGTGTCCTCTGAAGTCCCAAAAGCACAGGTCCCACCCTGGCAGCATCATCCTGGCAATTGTTGGTGCTCAGTGAGGAGGAGAGGGAGGTGGTGTCATCCTTGGTCCCTCCCAGTCATGATTTTCAGGAAGCTTTGTAATAACACTGAGCTGTTTACTGCTGCCAGAAATGGTGTTACTGCAGCTCCTGTCATGGTGTTACTGCTCTCTAGGATAGAACTAGCCCAGATCTTTGGGGATGTGCTGCACAGGCAGAGCTTCGGGAGCTGGATCCTCTCTCCTTGCAGAAATTCCTGGGATATCTCCCATGTCTGTAGCAGTTGGAAGAGCATCTGCATGATCATGGCCACAACAGTAAACAAAAATCCCCCAAACAGCTGCTCTTCATCTTCCACATGATTGTTTTAACAAAACACAGCCCAAAACATGTGCTGTGCTAAATTTATTCTGTCGAGAAATAGAGCTATTAACTTGTTATTTTCTTTTGTTAATAAAAGATAAATATTTTTGTGGAACAATAAACATTACATCTGGATAAAGTCTTTATTTCTAAAGCATAGCTCTGCAAACCCTCCCCATGCTGGCTTTTCAAATGTTTGTGATTTCACTGCTTATGTGGCAGGGAAATAAAAGTTGGTAAACAATATTTTCCATTTTGCTCTGAAACCACCCCCATTCTGTGGTAATTTTTGTCACATTTGTATTTTGGGGTCAAGTAAAATTGTGGTAATTGGGAAAGAACTGTGAGTGTTACACTGTATTCTAGGAGGAAGTAAATAAGATCTATCCCTACAAAGGCCAAAGAAAGGAAATGGAACTCTGCAGGTTTTCACAGGTGTTCAGTGCCTTCACTCAGCCCAGGCCTTTGCTCTTCTTGCCATTTCTGACATTTGGAAAAATTGCTTCATAGAATGGTAGGAACAGTAACAGTAATATTTTTCTATTACCTGTTTTATAAACCATCTTTATTTTTGCTGTTAGAAACTCAGGTTAAATTAAATAAAAAATTAAGAAAAGGTAATTTTAGTTCATTTTTTTTCCTGGAGGAAGTGGAAGTTGTTTAGTTCAGCTGCTTCAGTCTGTGCTCAAGGCTCTGTATTCCACACTGATGTAACAGACCCATAGGTGACAGGCACATCTCAGGTCCCTGTTCCAAAGCTCTCCTGGGCCCTTTGATCATTCCATGCTGCTCTATCACTGCACTGCAAGAATATTAACACATCTTCTCCATTTTCAATGTGTTGGTGCCGTGTCCCCTGCCAGCTTGGTCTGACACATGAATCTCATCTCTAACCTGCCTCATGAATGTCCACACTCATGAATTGCTGGCTGGATTGGGATGGGATTTGGGTTAGCTGGGGGACTGAACAGCCTGAGCCCTGCTGACACCTGAGCTGGGTGAGAGGGAGGAACACAGCACTCAAATTGCAGCTCATCAGTTGCTAACCCTCTGGCTTTGCTGGCCCAGCCATTCTACACCAGCAAAATGTTATTTAATGGTCAGCTTGCTCTCACTGGGGATCTGCCTGTTGTAATCAGGCTGCAGGGTAGGATATCTTGTGCTGCCTCTGAATCAGTCACTGAGAATTTGGTGTCTGTGCAGGGATTCAGTGCAGGTTCCAAAACCCATCCAGAGCTGCACTGAGCTCTGGGCAGCTGAGATCTCAGCCAGCTGAGCAGCCATGCAAGGCAACTCCAGTCACCAGCCCAGAAACATTTGCAGAGTAAATGTAGCTTTAAAAAAAGAGGATTAACTGGAGATGCCTCTTGGAGTGAGAACATACCCCAGGAGTGGCTCAGCCACTGGCAGGAGTAGCCAAAATTCAGGCACCAACTCTTGTGCCAGGCTGGAGAATGCGAGGGCAGAGGTGGGAGTTTAGCAAAATACAAATTCTAAGGACTCCACTGCCATGCCTGTAAAATCAGCAACATGATATGTCTTGGTATTTAAGCAAAGAAGCCACATCAATTTAATTTAAAATGCTTTCAAAAGTAGAATAGGCTGGTGGGAAAGAGCAAAGTAAAGTCTGCTGCTTCTCTCTAACAGTCTGCAGAAAAGCTAAATGTGGAGTTGAGAAGGAAGTTTGAACTCATTTTTCTTGAGCAAAAAGCTTCAGGCTGGAAGGTTGGAGATTACTGGTCTGTCACTTTTCTTGAGTGTAAAAAGTGCAGACTGTCACAGTGACTGCAGGTATCAGCACCTGATGCCCTCTCTACCTACACACCCTAAAAGTGAGGTGCTGAGGAATTTGTATGAGGTAGAGGCACTGATTTTCCTTTACTGTGCATGCAGAATTTCTGCAGTGGTTTTGCTAAATCAGCAGGTGAATCATTGCCTTGCCTTCCCAGTGGGTCAATGCTTAGGGACAGGCAGTGTTGCCCAAGAGCTTTAGCTCAGTCTTGCTTTGGTTGTGGATGGTCAGGAGGAGTCCTGAGCTTCTCTCTGTGCCAGAGCAGCTCCAGGGTGAGCTTGGCCTTGCCTGCCCCCAGGTCAGGATGCCAAATCTGCAGCCCGGAGGGAGCAGTGCTGGGCTCTGTCCTGGTCAGGCTGTGCTGCTTGGACAAACACAAGTCTAGGTTAAAGTGGTGGGGCAGTTGATACAGGCTGCCTTATCTTTTTGTTAAACAGGACAGTATTTACTGTCTCTTATTTGCCTTCTTTCTGATTTCATCTCAGTCAATCAATCAGTTGAATTTTTCCTAATTTACAGTTGCAGAAAGAATGTTGGAATCAGGCTCTCTGTGTTTACTTCAGTATTTTTTCAAGACTATGTGCCATGAAGTATCTTTCAGATCCTCCCCCCTCAATAAATTATTAAAGCATAAATGTAATTTTTATCAGTTATACAATTTATACTCTGAATGTCATTTAATGTAGCTCAAAAATTCTATGATTCTTTATGGATTGAATTTTCTGGTGTTCCTTCTTTATGGCTGTGGTGTAGTATGAGAGTTACAGAATACTTACAGTCAACCTTTTGATGTAATGCAGTTTTAATGGAAAGTGTCACTTTACCAACCCATCCTTTACAGTTACAGTCCTTTCATCAAGGAATATCTTTGTTGTCAGATTGAGAATTAATGTAAAAAGAAAGGAAATATTGCATTACTTCATTACTTCATTAAGCTGCAAGAAAAAAGCATTGTTATTTTTCTTGTGATTTAACAATATTTTTAAATTACTTTAAATTTTCAAATTTTCTGTGTTCTGGAAATGTTGTGTGTTGCTGAGAGTGGCTGGGTAAATATCATCATAGATGGTTAACTTTAAAAGGGAGTTATTTTGATGCAGACCCTTGAATTACAATTCTGAAGCCAAGAATCTGTTTGACTCATTCCTAGTGAAGGAAAGTACCTACTGAAAATACAAAGCAACACCCTGCTCCTTTACACATGGCTGTCACTGTCACATTTTCTGAAAAATCCCTTCGCCAGGATTTCTTCTCCTGGGAAGCTGAGAAGCCTCGGAGAAAAATCAAAACAATAATTATCTGATTGCTTCTCCTGTTTTGCTGCTTTGGAATGTGTTTGGAGATTGTTTGCCAACTGGTCATTGGTTGGTTTCATGTGAATTGTTTTAACTTAATGGCCAGTCATGGTTAGGCTGTGTCAGGACTGTGGAAGGAGTCACAAGTTTTTCATTATCATTCTTGTTAAGACTTCTGTGTCTGTATCCTTTCTCTATTCTTTAGTATAGTCTTAGTATAGCACTCTATAATAAAATATGATAGAATAGAATAGAATAGAATAGAATAGAATAGAATAGAATAGAATAGAATAGAATAGAATAGAATAGAATAGAATAGAATAGAATAGAATAATCAGCCTTCTAAGAACATGGAGTCAGATTCACTCATCTCTCCCCTGCAAATTGAACACATGGCCTAGGCTGCTCTGTGCTCCCATCACTGCAATGAAGAATCAGAGATGTTTGCCACAGAACATTCCAAAAGGAAGAGCCAAGAGAGGGAATGATGCTTTTAGCAACACATTTTTGTCATCTCTGGTTTATTGGACCACACCATTTTTTTCACTTCTTATCGTCCTGATGGATTTCAATGAGCAAGAGCGGAAAAGTCTCAAAATGTTGGATCTGACTTTGTGTTATTGACGTGCCTGTTTCCCCAGGGACAGGGAGCCCTCTCTGAGAGGCTACGGAGCTTCAGCATGCAGGACCTGTCGAGCATCCGCGGGGACAGCGGCAGCACCGTCCCTGCCTCGGTCACTGTGCGGACAGGCAGCAAACAGAGCCACCCCAAACCAGCCAGGAGTGCATCAGAAGGCACTGGCAGCTCAGGTGAGTGCCAGGGTTATTTTCAGTGCTGTGCTGGCTGCAATATCACACTGCTCAGTGGAGTCGTGCCCTTGGCAGGGACAGAGGGAAACGGACACTGCAGGCAGCACATACCAGAGTTGCCAGGACACAGACATGCTCTGGGCTCTCTTGGCACTCAGGGGGAAAAAACAGGATCATCATTTGATGGTTGCTATTCCTGGCTGGTGCTGAGGATGAGACTTGAGTGTGCAGAGAAGCCAGACTCAGTCTTTGCAACCTGAGCTGGAAAGCTGGGCTGGGGGCTGCTGAAAAAACTGTGTCTGGTTTGTTGTCTAATTCTGGAGGAACAAAGGGAAGAAATACCATGCTGTAAATAAGATCCATTCCTGAGGATTCAGTTAAAAAACTTATTTTAAGGACAATAGTTTGTTTTCTAATTCTGAAAGAACAACGGGACGAAATATGCTGTAAATAAGATCCATTCCTGAGGATTCAGTTAAAAAAATGTGCTGCAAGCTTGGGTAAAGAAATCTTCTTGAGTCCAAATCCAAAGCATTTAATTGGAGACAGCTTTGCAGATTAGATCTCCAAAAGTGAGACGTGGAGGGTTATCCCAGGGTTCCCACACACCACCAAGGATCACTCAGCTCCAGTGCTGTGGTGAGAGGCCATGGAAAGTTGCAGGCGTGTTGCACTTGGTAGTTGTGAAACATTTGCTGGCAAGTCAGAAATTCAGCAGTCTCAGCTTGTGTGTGCTGGGGTCTGTGCAAACACTTGCACTGTTTCAAGCCTGGGTAGCTGCTACCCCTTGTAATTTGCTTTAGTTTTGGAATGGTGTTAGAAATGTCTTGTCTGATCCTTCCTAAAGAGCATCTTTCAAGCCTCTTACAAATTCTGTGAATCAGACTTCTCCTTTTTTTTTTAATATTATCTGTTGAATTACATTTTCTTCATGGGTAAACTGAAATGTTGGTGCACAGTGGTTTTATTCTCATCTTTTATATAAGGCCTTGTGTACACTTCTCTTGACATAATCAGTCTGAAAATAAAGTATTCACACACAGAATATAAAAGTCTTTAAAAAGTCACATATGTAGACAAAAATAAATAATGACACAAATGAACCGTAATTTAGTTATCTTAGTTCCCCATTGAGTAGAGCAGCCTTTGTAGTTTTACTCTTGAGACAGTGAAGTCAGCTCACCTGGCCACAAACCCCTGTCTCAAGACACAGGAGTTTTTTATTTTGATCTGGTTTTGTGTCCATAGTGCACAAGGATCTCTCAGAATGAATCTCTGAAAAATTGTTCATAAATGTTTTGAACTCAGACTATGTGTTATCACAAATTTTGGATTCAAGTAATTTGATATTTTGAGTTTAATTTTTTTTTTTTTATTGAAACTGTACAAATTTGCAAAATCTTCCAAGACCTCTCTATCTGTCCCATCTCACTTGGTGATTTCATTGAGGTGCCTCATTCTGCACCTGCAGGGAATACAAACAGCCTCCCCTTGCAGGTGGTGGGAGATTCCAGCTTTGCTCTCACTTTTGATCACAGGAAGAGAAAGATCAGCTCTGGTCTCTGCAGTCCTTGGGCTGTTTTATGTGGGCACCATTCTGTGTGCAGCCAGAAATTCTGGAGGGGAGAATGCTCAGAGCCAGCTGTCCTCTGTGTGTGTGTGAGGCTGTGATGTGCCAACCACCCTGTGCCACCTCCTGAGGGCATGTTCTGCTGAGGTGACACTGCTCTGGGCACTTCCATCACCCCACCTTTCATATTTACGCAAGGGGCAGACAGAATTTGCCCCTGCCCATTATTGTGCTTTATATACATGGAATGTATGAATTTGTGAGAGTGGGCATGAGCAGCCACTGCAGAGCAGCAGGCACACAGCCCTGTCTCCTGTCTCACAGCCCTCAGATGGCATCAGTGTCCCTGTCTGGTGTCCCCAGTGCCTCACAGAAACATTGAACTCCTCTGGTGTTTTACCTGCTTTAGAAATAGCGGGACATAGTCAAAGTGACATCAGATGGGGTCATCAAAAATGACCCAGACAGTGTTTGGCATGAGGGTGTTCATTTTAAATAGACAATTTTTCTTGTGAATTGCAGAACCTGCATTGTACTTCTATTTTTCTGATGCTCTATCACCTCTTACATCAGCAGCCTCTCACCCAAGGAAGACTTAAAGTAGATATTTTTGTTTTGATTTTTTTCTGCTTTTTGGAGGTATTTCCCTCTCTTTTTTTCCTTCCATCCTAGTCCCACTGCAAATCCACAAATTATATTAGCAACATTAAAAAAAGAACCAACAAAAAAGGAAACATCTTACCCTTTCCTTCTGTAAATGCTTCATTCCTGGTGTTCTAAGAGAAGCCTTAAAATAGGAGGATAATGATTCCCAAAACAAAACCTAAAGTTTTATGTAATTCAAAGGAGGTTTATGTTGATTGTCCTTGACTGCTGCCAGCTAGAATTGTGCCTGCTCCTTGATCTCTGTGTGACCACACTAATTAAGGGGATTAGCTGAGGGCTGCACTTTGGGGTTATGCTCCCAGTGAAAAACACAGAGCCACGTTCTCACCTGGTGTGGTTTCTCTGACTGACAACACAGCAGAGCTCAGTTTCTGAGGGATAACAGCCTTGCTGTTATAGAATTTTAGATTAAGCACTCAGGAAAGAAACACACACCCAAAGCACCATCCCTTTTTGACGAGAGCTCTGAAGCTGACATGGTTACAATTAAGGTGTAGCTGGAACAATGATGTCTGAACACAAAAATGCATGTTAACTCAATTAGCCAATGAAAGCTAAGCCCTGACATCACACAGGGCCTGGCATGGGGTGCTGAGAGCAGAGAGGGCTCTTGGGGATGAGCTCAGGATGTTTGTGTGGCTCCCATGCCCGGAGCTGGGACACACAGAACCCTCCTGTGGGACTGTTGTGTTTAAGAGCAGATGTGACATCTGGAATAAAGGGTTTTGGAAAGACAAGGGAATAGGGAGAGGTCTGTTGTCTCTCCTGCACAGAAGGGAGTGCTAAAATTCAGTTTTGTTGGTATTAAACCCCCCAGCCCCCTGTGAGCACCAGCAGTGGTTCAGGCTCTGGTTTCACAACCCTTGGCCATGGTTCCAAGCCCACTGAAGCAGGAGCAAAGGCTCTCCTGACACCAGTGGGCTCTGGCTGTGGCCAAAGCTGGCTGCAGGGCCAGGCTGCACAAACACTCAGCCTGTTTTGTTTCCACTGTTGTTATTTTTGTAATTGAATGGTGCTGCTTAGGTGGATTTGTGATTCTTTGAATCCCCTCTTGACACAAAGTACTGTGTGAAGAGTTTGCCATTTTGTAACAGCCTCATGCAGATACAGCAAAAGATTTTTTTTTTTTTTTGCCTGCTGAGGAGTTTCTTAGGAGGCCAAGAAATAAAATAAGCAGGAGCTGCTTTGAGACAGCTTTACCTTTTTCTGTCTTTGCTGCCTTTCAGTCCATTGTGCAGCTGTGCTGTGAGCATGGTCCTTCTGCAGGAGTGGGACAGCTCAGCACACAGTGGGCTCATCCCAAACAGACCCTGCTCCTCCTCCTCACACCCGATGGCATGGAGAGGCACAGGCTGCTTTTGCCATGGTTTGATTTGGGCTGCTGGCCCCACAAACAGCTCCAGGGAAACGTGCCCACCTTCCTGAGATGGGCACCAAGGGCACACAGTGAGCCCCTTCTTCCACACAGCAGGCCCACCACCTCTGCATCTGATTTTTCACTTCTCTCTTGGTTCAGCATTTCTCAGTTTATTGTCCTGGCACCCAGATGATGGACTGTGACATTTTACTCAGTGCCTGCTCCAACCTGTGCCCTTTCACAGGCAGAGCTGCCTCTTTCCTTTGGGAGCTGTAAATGTCATGTGGCTGTGCAGTGTTATGGAAAACTGTACATTCCAGAACAATATTTTTCCAGATATTTTTCAAGGGAATCCTGTTGTTCTGGCAAATGTCCAGTAACAATCCACATACAGACATCTCTGTATTAACAGGAGCTTTTGCACTTGTTAACCTTTTAGCATTACCTTAATTTGTGTGGCATCAGAGGACAGTCAGTGTGCAGAGCTGGTGCTGCCTGGGGCAGAGGATCACAAACAATGCAGCCACCCCCTGTATTGCCCAAACCCAGAGTTCTTTCTGCTTAAGCCTGCCCCAGGCTAAGATCATTCTTATCTGGAATGATTTCAAAGCAGGAATGGACAGTGTGATTTCTGATACTCTCCATTCCTCTGAGCAGGAGAGAATCAATGCTGGTTTTTTGGTCTTGTGCCTAAGGACCAAAAGCTTTGCAGTACAGAACAAAGGTGGGGGAACATCAGCAGTCAGGATGTGTTTGGATATTCAGTGCCCATCAACCAAAAAGATGTGTGAGAACAACCCAGATATATGTTGTCTGAATTCACAGAGAATAAACTGACATAAAACTGTCATAGAACTGTGATCAGCTTCCTTCTGTGTGAGATCAGAGGCTGAGCCCACAGCAGATCTCTTGAGGAAGACCATAGTTCCACAGCAGCATCCAGCCAATGTGAGGCTGCACTCCCACTGAAAGCTGTAACCCAGCTGCTTGCCTCTGCCCCATCTCTTTTCCTTTGGATACATTTAAATCCTATTTTTATGGGCTGACCCCATCAAGGAATTGGTTCAAGTTAAATGCTATCCCTTGCTTCCAGGTTGCTCTTGACCTGGGTCAGATCCTCAAGGCAGTGGAGAGCAGCAGCACAGACAGCAGCAATGAGGAGGTGGAGGCAGAGTACAAGGGACACTGAGACATCTGCTCTCAGTGGTGCTGCTTCAAAATCACTGTGAAACTATAGAAGAACTTCCAGTGTCTCCAGTGCAGGATAATCATAACTAAAAAAATCACACTGAGCTCAAACCCTTTTCTGCTTTATTGTGGAGTCATTGATGACACTGTGAGCATTAAATTGAAAGGCTCCAACTGGAAATTTAGGCTGCTTCCTGGAACACAAGCTGTGCTCAAGATGAAGCTGTAAACTTCACACATGTTCAGGAACAGTTATGAATCACCTGCTTTCACTGAGGGGTGCACTGCAATCCCCTTGGCTGCTTTCATACTCATGGCAATTCCATCAGGATATTAGTTCCTGTAGGACTCTCCTGGTTTAGGAAGTTCAGGGATGTGTGGGTAGATTTCTTTAGAGGCTGTGTGAGTGGTTGCAGCAGCCTTCTTGTAGATTCTAGAATTCTTGTAGAACTTCTAGAATTCTACTCTGTAGACTTCTACAAGAATTCTAGAATCTACAAGAATCTTGTAGAACCTCTAGAATTCTACTCTGTAGACTTCTGCAAGAATTCTAGAATCTACAAGAATCTTGTAGACTTCTAGAATTCTACTCTGTAGACTTCTACAAGAATTCTAGAATCTACAAGAATCTTGCAGACTTCTAGATTCTGTAGACTTCTGTAGACTTCTGCAAGAATTCTAGAATCTACAAGAATCTCGTAGAACTTCTAGAATTCTACTCTGTAGACTTCTACAAGAATTCTAGAATCTACAAGAAGGCTGCTGCAACCACTCACACAGCCTCTAAAGAAATCTACCCACACATCCCTGAACTACCTAAACTCTAAACCTGCTGGAAGAATCCAGGCACACAGCCTTACAAATCCCAGTGTTGCACCCTGTGTTTGTTACCATACAGCCTTGTGCACTGGGTTGTGCATCCATGCTCCCATGGCTTGTCCACACTCCCAGGTCCCTCCAGACAGGAGTTCCCTCTGTTCCGTGGTCTGGGAACAGCACCAGGGAGCTGAACCTAACCCCATCCTTAGCACCCACATGGACACAGCCTGGGGTGAGGCACGTTCCTGAGCCTGTGCTCCATGCTGTCACCTCCCCGTGCACACCAGGGCCTTGAAGTGCCCTCCAGAGTGGCGCCAGGTGTTTTCTAAGAGTGAGTGGCTTCACAAGGAGTTCCTAACTCTCAGCTCCTCTTGCAGTGTGCACGTGTTGCTCGGTGTGCCGGCTCCTCCGAGGTGAGTGCTGGATCTCCTGGTGTCCATGCATCCCTGTTGGGCATGGCTGCATCCCCCAGCCTGGCTTGCTCCTGATGCTCGTGTTTCCTAACGCCAGGGGGGCAAAGCCAGGCTGTGAGTGGGTTTGGGAGCTCTGTGTGTGTGCTCATGGCAAGAGTCTCAGTGCTTCTCACCGTACTGACCTGTGCTACCCACGGATGGGGATTGTTCCTCTGGAGAAAAACTTCATTCCTTTCTCTTCTAAAGGATGGGCCACGTCCTTGCTGGGCAGTGTCACTCCTCTGCCCCCAGTGCTGGTGTAAATCCACTGGGAATGCAGCAAGAGCAAAACCTCCCCAGCCCTGTTTTGCTGTGTTCCCTAAGGATTGGCGCAGGTTTCTCCATTGCTGGAGAGGACATTTGTGTTTGGGGTGAGCAGGGTATGTAGCAAATCCCAGCAGCAGACCCTGGTAAGACAAAATAGGCTTGAACTGGCTGTCCCTGATTCAGTCTCTGGCAGAAGCACTTTTGAAAAATGTCCCCAGTGTCCCCAGCATTTATTGTGTTTACAAACGTGGAGAGCAGTGAATGGTTTAGCTGCTGGTGGTATTTTCAGTGCTGTGCCACTTAGCTGGGTTGCTAAGAGCCCAGACATGTCACTTCTGCATTTTTTCCCCAGTGGCAGATGAAAGGAGTGGGAGAACTCCAATTTGGGCATGCCAGAGGATGGGACTGCCAAGCAGCTTGTCTGGGGAGAAAAAAGAAATGCAGACTGGCAGTGTCTCATGTTGGTGGAAGCAAAAAAACCCTTTGTAGCTCCTTTTCTTCTCATCTCATGTGCTTTTTGTGTATTTTGCCCACTAATCAACCTGGAGACAGCAGCAGAAGGACTAAAGGACCACAGTGCTGCAGCCTGTGCCTTGCCAAGCCCTGTGCAGTGCTGAGGCTTGGAGCTGATGGTTCCAGCCTGGCACAGCCTCCTTGCACCCTGCCTGGGTGGCAAACCCACCCTCATATTTGATTTGTCACCCCTCCTTTTCTGGGTGTGTGCCATCGTGCAGGACAAGGAAAGATGTTTAAGGTGGTATCTGTTGAAACAACACTTGTATTCACAGGGCATTTTATTAGAACTCTTCTAATTTTAGCCTAGACCTATTTTATGGATTTGACTTCAAAGTGTTATTTATAAAAAGAGTCACTGAATCCTTATGGGTTTAAAAGTCATGAGGTAATCTTAGGAAAGTCTTTTAATGATGCTAAAGCAGCGACCAGTCCAATGTGTTTATGAATTGGACCCAAAGTAATTTGGGACTTGTTGAAATTGCACACCCTGTCTTTCACACTGGCTTGTTTTACTATTCCTGCCCCCTCTCCAGCATAATCCAGTCCCTCAGACCATGTCAATAGGGATGTGCCACGGCTCTGTGTCATAGAGGGTCCATTCTGTCTCCACAGGCTGCCCTTTCTCTGTCTCCAAGGCAATAGATGCATTAATGCACTCTCAGACAGTGGCCTGCCATTAAAATGCTCCTTTGTGAGTGCATCTTTGGTAGCTTTGGAGAGCTGACTACGTCATGTGAACATTTTTCAGTGCCACAAAAGGCTGGGGGAGGAAAGAATCTAATTTTGTTTAGCTAGGGCTGAGTTGCCTTGAGCTATTGGCACTCATCCTCTCTTGGTGCAAACTTTAGTGCAGCCAATTTCAGAGTCCCATCATTAACAGCTCTCATTTCCAAAGAGTTTCTCATCTAAATGGGCAGAAAGTCAAGTCTTTCCTCAAGCAGGGATATTAAAAGCTGCTTTAGAGCTTTGGTGCAGTCTTTTTTGGCAGGAACAGTTGCATTAATGCTCTTGCAGGTAAAACTCTATCATTGTAAATAGGTAAAACTCTATTATTTCACTCTTGTGGTGAAACTTGTAGGTAAAACTCTATTATTTCACTCTGTAACTCACAGAAACCTCCTCAGCTCTTAGGAGAGCACAGGCTGGTGGAGCAAAAGTTCAGGCATTCTGCTCCCTAGATGATACCCAGGAGGATGACTCCTTGCAGGTGCCATGGAATGTGCATTTCTGCAGAGCCTGCACACAGCCTGAGCCCCCTGGGCTGGAGCTGTCCTGTCAGTGATGCTGGGCTGGCTGCTGGTGGCTTCCTCTGCTCTGCAGCAGCACTGTCCCTCTCAGCAGTGGTGCTGCCTGGCTGCTGTCACAGACAGACATATATTTAATGAAAAATCCTTTCCTTAGGATTTTTTCTCCTGAGAAGCTGGGAGGCCTCAGGAACAAAATGTAAACAATGGTTATCTGCTGCTGTGGATTGCACCAGTTGGTTTTTTGTTTGTTTTCTTTTGTTTTTTTTTATTTATTGGCCATTCCCGGTCCGGTTTTTTCGGCTTTTTTGTTCGTTCCCAAATTTTTTTTTTCTTTTTTTTTCTTTCTTTGCCGCCTTCTGGTGAAATCCTTTCTTCTATTCTTTTAGTATAGTTTTAATATATCATTTTCTTTTAATATAATGTTTATTTTAATATAATTAATCATAAAATAACAAATCAGCCTTCTGGAACATGGAGTCAAGATTCTCACCTCTCCCCTCGTCCTGGGCCCCCTGTGAGCAGCACCCCAGGGTGCTGATGGGCTCTGCAGGTCTGTCCCTGGCAGCACGGATGGGATTCTCTGTGCTGAAGCTGTTGGCTCCACAGCAGAGCCCATTTGGATCACTCCCAGCGGCCTCACAGGCTGCACATGGCAAAGCATTGATGCAATTCAGGACCTTCACCCTCCCCTGCTCTGGGAGCCTCACTAAAACACAAACCTGTTTGACAGATGTACTCCAGCTCCTCTCTTTGACAGCTCCTGTGCCAGCTCCTCTTGCTTTTGTTCCTGGCCAGGCCTTTGCTGGTGGAACCCCCTCCAGGTTTTAACCCAGGTTTCTGATTTCTCTCCTTTGTGTTCTGTGGAAAGTCAGGCTGCAGCATTCAGGGGCAATGGTACAATTATGTAAGAGCTCCTTTTCCCTTTCAGAGAGAACAGAGTGAAAATCTCCAGGGATATCTGTTTGTCTTTTGGCAGTGCCTGGCAAATGCTTAAAGGCTGCTCAGTATTAAACAATCTTGCTTGGGACCAGCATTTAAGAAGTAACAAAATATGTTTGGTGTTGTTCTCTCAACTAATGTCTCTTAGGTGCTGTTGCAAAGACCTGGGGCATGGTTGAGAGGGAGAAACCATTTTAATTCTTGCAGAGAATAAATATATCTCTCATGAATTGAAGAACCAGCTGTACATCAGGAGAATTGTTGGGACTGCAAGTATTTGAGGGGGCATTTAATACTAAAAGGGTGATCAGGAGCCTTAGGCAGTGTGAGAAATGTGCAGGGACATTTGTGATGAGATGTGCAGGGACATTTGTGATGAATGGCTCTGTTTTGGGTGTGCTGCTCAGGGTGACAGATCACACCCAGCCAGCAGTGCAGCTCCCCAGGACCTCAATGGACACCCATTTAATTGTGCTTTAAATAAATCACCTCACTGCTCTATTGGCTGATCCAACCCCTCCTTTGTGGTGTGCTCAGGAGTGCACATGGGTTATTACAGTGGAAAGTGCTTTAAAAACACTAATTGACTTTATGTCAAGGGGCTGATTGTACATCTCTGAACTAATTCAATTAAATGGTGTAGGTGGTTTTATTTTGGTTCTTAGCCAGTTTTGCTTCCAGCTCTAATTCTGAGGAATTTTTTTAACCTTACTGAACTTAAAGAACAAACAGCAATTTTCTGTTGCTCTAGGCATTTTGTTCCTTAAAATTTCCCTTTACTAAATACTGAAGCAAATTTTTACAGGGCTGATTTGCTTCACTTTGCGCTGGTATTTCTGAATAGCAATTTGTGATTTTCTTTTTGAGATTTAAAAATAGTTTCAGATGTATTTTGGTTACTTCAGGGAAGAAAAAAGCTCAAAGAAAATCAGTAGTTTTGAAGTACATTTGCATTGTACCAGCAGAAAGTGAAAAAATTAATTATTGTTTAATAAACTTCAGCTGAATGACAGAGCTGATAAAAGCAAAGATGAATATTTCTGTGTTCTGAAACAATGTTCCTTCCCCCTCTGCACCCAAATGTTTTCTCCTAACAGTTTATTCTTTCTTTTTCTCTATGTAAATATTATGGGACTCTGATGTAAGTGTTACAGATTGCATGAATTTTCCTCTGAGGTGTTTGGAATAGACTAGCACTTAACAACTCACTCATTTGTGGGATGTGTTTTCATTAACGGATGACTTTGTTGATGTAATTAGGTTTGTTTGCTTTGGTTGCATTTGACTGCAGCTTTGGAAAGGATCTCTGCCTCTGTTTGGTGGCTCCTGGGCAGTGTGTGCTGGTGTAGTTTGGCTGCTCCTAACTCCTTGGTTTGGCAATGAAAACTGCTGGGGGAGGACAGGACTTGGGTCAATGTCTTTTGGAAATGATGGTGAATTTATCTTTGTTGCAGGGGAAAGAAGCTGATGGCCATCGTAGAATAAATATCTGTTCTCCCGTGCTTATTCAGTGCTGTGCAAACCTCTCTGTATGAATGATGCCCTGGAAAGGCTTAACTTTGGAGTGACTCTGCCTTCCATTACATTAATACAATACATCACTCTTGGTTTGTGTAGTCTGTGACTATGGTTTCCCCATTGCCCCTGAGGAATTCAAGTGATGAGAGAATTATTGTGCCTGGCAAAGTAAGGGGAGTACAATGTCAAAGTTGCCTGATTCCCACTGTAACTGTACTTAAGTGTCCAGATTTTTCAGAGGATCTAGATCAAAGTCAATTGTTCACTTGGGCCAGGTCCTGACTTCTGTTGTCAAGAAAATCCAAAGGAATTGGGTACAGATTTACATGGCAGCATGGGCCAGAGTCTGAACCAGAGTGATTGCTGAACCAGCACACTGCTGAATCCCAGATATTGCTGTAGGAAGAGTTCTGCAAGTGAAATTTCTCAGCCTTGTTGAATCATAGAGATCAAAGATTGCCATGATTTGGCCCTACATTTCCTGCTCCATGCTGGGTTGTTCCCTGAGGTGCATTAACAGCTCAGATCCCAGCTCTGCAGAGCACTCCAGTGTCTGCTTTAACTTGAAATGTGCCCATTTTCAGGGCTTCCCTCCCAATGTGTTGGTTGTATCAGTTCCCTTGGGAGGAATTATGATGAATGATAGGAACTGGAATGAAGGGAATTTACTGGAATAATCTGTTTCCTTAGACTGTTTAGAGTCAGATTCCATCATGCTTTAGTGGAGAGAGGAGTGTAATCTGGTCTGTGCACAAAAGGTGTTTGCAAGAGGCAGCAGCAGCTTTAGCCTGGAGCTCCAGCCCATTTCCCACTTCTGCAGCAATTCAGCCCCTCCACACAAAGCTGTGGAGCCCTAAATGTAACAGGTGGAGGCCCCTAAAACACATCCCACGCTGGGATGGGCAGTGAGAGTGTCCCAAACAGAGCCAGGGCAAGCTCTGGTGTCTGATCCATGTTTTTACACAGCCACCTCCTGGCTGTGGCAGCCCCTGGGGTTGTTGGTGTTCCCTGGAGCAGCACACTCTGCTGACTTGGCTGCTTTGGGGACATCTGATAGTGAGCCCACAGCCCCAGATCATAAAAATGCCTCTTAGAAACACACAGGAGGTCACCCAAGGCCAAGTGCTGTCCTCAAAATGCACGCCCCAGCCCTGGCAATGTTTAACTCCTCAATCTTTACCTTCTCTGGTAACAACCCTTGGTGTCCCAGAGCCCTTTCAGTCACTTTAAACCTCCATCTCCTTTCTCAGCAGTTCCTCACAGGTGTGTTTGTTCTTCTGATTAACCCCTGCCTTACATTTTTACTCACTCTCTTGGTGTCAGAAAATCAGTCTTCTATCATATCATCACCATATTCACAAAAAGAACAATTTCAGAGCCAAAGGCTGGTACCCCCAAAGCCTGGCAGATCAATATGAGCTTGGCTTGCTCCAAATACAGATGTCCTTCCCAAGGTAGGGAGTCCTCCCTTCTTGTTCCAGGTCTGAAGGAAAGTGCTGTGTGTATTACAGATATTTCCTCATCCATGGCCAGCAAAGTAGTGGAAAAGCCTGGGAGAGCCCATCTTCCTTATTCCAGTTCAGTGAGGCTGGAGCCAAGCTGGCTCCCATTTGGGTGGTTTTCAGTGTCCCACTCACAATGATGTGCAGCAGGGAAGAAAAAGGCACCAGCCCAACTTCCAGTGAGCTTCAGAGACCTCTCAGCTGCAGGGATCAAAGCAGTGTGTGCCAGCTGGGAGGCTGAGCTCTCCTTGACCTTCATGGAAGCAGCTTCAGGACGTGATGTGATGCTTGGGCTGATGGGGAGAATGGAAAACCTGCAGGGGGCTGTGCCTGCTGTGGGGGTGACATGGTGGCAGAGCTCACTGGGTATCTTTTTTACCCAGCATCTGATTTAAGAGAGAGCACAGTAATGAAGAAAGCAATGTGTGCTGCAAACCCTGGGATTCACAGGAGCATTGTCAGGCTGACTGCTCCTTCTGGCTCCTTTCCCATGGACTGGCTGGTTGTGGAATGCAGCATGGCACATTGTCATGGTCCTGGTCACTCAGCCAGTGTCTCCTCACTCTGGTCACTGACCACCCCAGCTCTGGGTGTCCAACACCCCTCCATCCTGTCCCATTCCAAGCCCTTTTTCCCTGGAGAAAGGCCCTGTCTGCTCTCAGTGCACATGGCTGGGGTGTGTTGTTCACTGTGCAAACCTCAGTGAGGCCATTAAAAGAAGTTCTGAGCCACTTCTACAAAACTTGACTAAATTTTGATTTGGCTTAGGCAGGCAGCAAAGAACAGCTTCCACATCCAAGAGGATCTAAGCTAGACTGCTCCTGGGTAGATCACTTCCCAAGAGGAGGGATAAAATTACTATTTTATCCCATAACATTCCTGTACTAGAGAACATTTAATTCTCCCCACAGTGCAATATTCACACTACAGTCCTACACAGAACAAAAACATTTCAGCATTATCCTGAGCCTTTCTGCAATGTGCTTATCACCATCTTCAGTACAGCTGGGGAAAAAGCCAACTTCCAGCTCTTGCTGCAAAGCTGCAGTGGTGTTTTCCAGCCTGCCCGTGTGAATGGTGACAAAGGGGGAAAAGCACAGGGTCAGTGGGCAGAGGATGGAGTGCACAGGCTGCTGTCTCGAGCAGCAGCTGCATCCTGTGGGCTGAGAGGGATTACTGCTGACTTTAGTCTGGCACTGGGGAGAGCCCCAGTGACCTGCTCCTCACTTGTGGTGTTGCTGTAGCCAAATCATTTCCCCTCTGTCTGTTACCCAACTGGAAGAGCTGTCGAGGAATTCAGTTCTTTTGGGCTTTAAGAATCAAAAGGGATTAGTAAGTATTAGAAGTTGAAGAATCCTCTTTGGTTTCAGGCTTTGGGGTTCAGTCTTTGGTCCAGCAGACTCTTAGTGAGGCTGAGACAAGAAGCACAGAGCATTATTTCTGTGTATGTTCATGCAACAAAGTATAGACCCAGTAATTCTGATTAGTGCCACCTAAACAGCAAATAGTTCCACTCCTACTGTGTTTTGGAATCAAAAAAGCCTTCTCAGTTAAACAGAGAAACCTCCAGCCCTGCTGGTAAGAAACCATGGAGAGCAGGAAACTTGGTCATGTTGAGTTTCCTCTTCTGTACCTCTTGCTTTGGGCTGTTCATTAAAAATACTGTTTCATTTACTGTGTGTATTTAGGCAGCCAATGGATGGTGTTGTGTAGCACAACCAGTCCCACAAAGATTGTGCCATAAGTTACAAGGGTAAGAACCATCAAGTGTTTGTGGTATGAAGTTATGAGGCCCTAAACTGCCTTCAGGAGCATCAGCAGAGCCAGTGCTCCACCACCACATTTACTCCAGAGTGCCAGAAGAGACACTTTTCCCTGCACTGGTTTTCCAGCAGCACACCCACTCGATGAGGGGCCACTCAATGCCTGGTGAAGCTTTCTGAGAACTTCAGTGGATCTCAGACTGAGCCTTGACCTGACCTTGACCACTTGGCCACAAGGCTTGCCTTGACCACTCTCGGTTTCGAGTCTGTAAGTGCTGCTGTGTTTCCTATTTCTGCATCCCCAGCAGCTCTCTCTGTGCTTACCAGAGGGCTTCAACACCCATTTGGAGTCTTCTTGAGGAAGCAGTAGATGCAGGAGCTATGGATGGAACCAGCAATTCAAGAAATCAGTTATTTTATTTATCCCTGAGCAAACAAACAGACAAAAAATCTCTTTCTAGTGTGAACCTCCCAGACATCAAAAGCTGTGAATTTAGTCTCAATTCTGTGTAAAATAATCAAAGTAGACTTTATAATGGCTTTGTAAACAAGAGCCTACTGATTTCTAACCCCACAGCTGCTATTATTAGAGTGTGATGTGTGACCCTTCTGTCTATTAATCCCTGGGTGATGCATGGTTTTGCAGTGAGTGACGTTTGTGTGAATCAAACCATCACTGATTTCCTCATCCCCTGTCTTCACATTTAGGCTGCCAATGGCTGTGTTAAATAGGTGAATTAAGTGTGGACATTAGGTATGAGAAGCCACCTGAGACAAACTGTGAAACAAAAGGCTCAGTGTTCTCAGATGATGAAGAGAACGATTGTGCATCCACGAACAAAAGGCCCAAAAAGAAGGATCCACCCCTTGAGGTACTTCCATACTGTCAAGACTCCTCCTTTTATGACTTCAACAGGAATCTTCAACTGAGCAAACACCTCTCTTTGGTCTAAACTCACTAAATACACTTTCAGTCGCTGCATGGAAACAAAAGAACTAAAGGAAATGCAGATCTCACTCTGATTTGCCAACATTTTAGCAACATTTCGTTATGGAGGAAAAAAAACCTCTGTGGGAGATGCTGTAGGCAAAGACTCCTTGCAGATGTGGGCAGGGTGGATGGAGGCACAGCTGAGATCTCCAGCTGTGGGATGCTGAGTTTGTCCCTCCCAGGTCCTTGCCCTGGCCCAGTGTGAGGGAGCAGAGCTGTGGTTTGGCCAGCAGCTGCAATCCCTTCTGCTGGGCTGCCACCAAACTCCGGCCTGCTCTGTTCTGGCCTTGGAAAGGTGCAGCCTCTCCAGCCACTCCCACAGCTGTGCAGTGGCCTCCCAAAGGAACAGAGCTGTTTAAGAGCCTTGGCTGTGCAGTTAGTGACAGCTTTGCTTTAAGAACCACATGGTTTCCCCAAGAGCAGCCTTCTCCCAGGCTGCAGGAGGTGCTGCTTTGGTTGTCAGGCTGTCCCTGGGCTCCTGGACTACACAGAGCTCCTCTGAGCAGCTGTGGATCCAGGTGTGGTGTGGTATCCATGGCTGCTGTAAGTGCATAGCAGCTTTGCTCCTCTCCTCTGCTCCAGATCCCATCCAGATCTGCTGTGCTCTTGGGGACTCACTGCAGGGACCTGGGGTAAGATTTCAGGCTTGGAAGATGGGGTGAAGTGTTGGATTAATCCCATCTCTGTGGGAAACTACTTGGGTTTATGGTCAAGCTAGAAAAAAAGGAGATTTAGGTGTTGTCTAAACAAAACCTCACTGTGCTGCAGTCCCTTGTCTATGTGAATAGTTATACATTGCTGCATCATGGGAATGCAGAAATGTGGCATGGTTTTGGGTTTGAAAGTGCTGTAAAACAGAAAAGTCCTTGCTTTGGTCCTGTCAGGCCCTTACAGGTAAATATGGGTTAATGCTATTAAGAAAACAAGGTTAATGCTATTAAGAAAACAAAGCTTTGGATGTTTATGTAAATGGAGTAGAAGATCCTACCACACCTTGCAGTGTTACTTGATGCAGTGACAGGCCTCACACTGAGAATCCATGTCCTGTTACAACATCTGATAACCATTTCTTGTTGTGAAGCTCATGAGACACAATCCCACACCAGATTAGGCCTTTTTCTTTCATTTGTTTGCTGGCCTAATGTCTGTCAGAGTCAGGAGAACAGGGTTAACCACAGGAAACCAAATTCCTGGACTTAGTCTGCCTCCTCCTGGGCAGTCAGGGCTCCTTGTAAAAGCTCTGCACCGGCTGACTACAAGGCAGAATTCCAATAGCTGGTTTCTAAAATAATTTCAACAGATTTTGTCTGGCCTCTTTCCCAAGCAAGGGGATGATTTTAAGGAGTTCTGCCTCATGAGAATTACAGTCCTGGTGTGTTCCATCGTGGGAAACCCTTCAGCTCTGTAATGCCATGAGCTGTACCCTCTGAGGAGCTGAGGATGGGTTGGACAGGGCAGGATGGGCTGGGACACACCAGAGCTGGCTCCCTGCCACCAGTTTGATCTCTAGATCCCTGAGCTGCTGTAAATGGCACCAGTTTGACCTGGCTCTTTCAACTGCTGAGTTATTAGCAATCCTTAGCCACACCTCTAACCAAGCACCTGAGTGGAATGTGTTGATTACACCTGGGTGTACAACAAGTTTCTTAAAGAGATTAGTCCTCACCTGGCCATTCATTACTCATCTTCAGGGCCAAACTGAAGATCGCATTACTTCATGAGAGGAATGGGATCCTATTCACAGAGGTCTCCACAAAGATGGGTGTGTTGATGTCGCAGACATTTCTTCATAGAAATCCTTTCTTTGGGATTTGTCCATCTTCTGGAAAGCAAAGGGCCCCAGAAGAAGAATGTAAACAAATTGTTATCGGCTGCTGTGAAAATGTGGCAGGAGTTCCTGTGATTAGCTCTTCTTCCATGTGTACCATTAAGAGCCAATCACAGGAGCAGCTCAGGGGAGATTCCCTGAACACAGAACTTTGTTATTCATTCCTTCTATTCTATTCTTAGCTTAGCAGTCTCTGCAAGCTCTCTCTTTATTCTTTTTAGTATAGTTATAATGTATTATATATTATATATTATATATTATATATCAATAAATCAAGCCTTCTGATCAAAGAACAAGATTCTCGTCCCTCTCACCACAGTGACCGTCTAAAGTCACTGTAATATGTTGTAAGGAAAAAAAAAGGTGTTTCCTACTAAGCCTCTGAAGTTTTGCTTTGTTTCTCTGCAGGCACCGCCTAGGACTCTCAGACCTCGCTTCAGGAAGAAAAGTACCTCGTCCTCTGCCACTGAAACAATGTGAGTGCAATGAGCCAATAGCACCAAGATCCACAGAATGTCTCTCTTCTGCCTTAAAGAGCTACTCATTGATAACCTAGGAAGCAGCAGTGGGATGGATGTGCTTTGATGTGCAGCACTGCAGACATGGCCTTTCTCCTCTCTCTCCACGTCCCTCTGTGGCACCTGCTGCTCTTTGTCCCTGCTGTGGGTAGGACAGGCTGGCAGGCACCTGCACCTGAGGGGTCCTGGTTGGGTTTGCAGAGTGTGCACCCACCCACAGTGTACATTTCCCGTTTCATTTGTGTCTGCATAGCTCTTGCTCTGCGAATGCCCAGAGGAAACAACAATAATCAGTTTCTCATCATGCTACATTGACAGTGTATTTATTTATGGCTTTATCATGGATGAAGTGGATTTGCAGAACCCATGGATTTCTCTTTCCTCCCTTCCTCCTCAAGACTGTGAATGATGTAACAAATGTCAAAGTACTTTGACTGTACAAAATGTCCAAGATTTGTTAGAGAAAGCTGAGCTGCAACTGAGTTTTTCTGCAAGTAAATCACATGTTCTGAGAAAACCATTGTGCTAAACCCACAGAGACAAGACCACTTACAGAGGATGAGGAAGTGATGTGCAAGAGAAAAAAAATTGTTTCAATGATATAATGAAGGGGGAGTCCTAGTTTCAATCAACCTGAGCCAGGAGAGTGTTTTGTGGAAAATGATGCGTAGAAGAACTAAATCCCACCACTTGTGGCCCATGTTCTACTGTGAGTTCTAAAGTGTGAGCAAGCCAGGCTTGAGCAAGCTGCAGCAGCAGAAATTAGAATGGCTTTAGTGATGCATTTCCAGGGGAAAACACATCTTTCTCCCCTGCTACAACAGTGCCAGTCGCAGCCCTCTGCTCTGCTGCTGTTCTGCTGGCATGAGCAGAGGAGGTGCTGGGTCTGAGCTGCTTTTTGAAGCCTGGAGTTTCTCCTCTAGCATGGAGTTTGGTTAGAACCACAAGAACCAGATGGAGTGGCTTATTTGTATCCATATATAAATGGGAAATATAAAAGAAGAGGAAGACATGGTAGGGTTTGTGTATTTGTGCTTCAAGTTGGTGTCTCTTGTAAGTGTTGAGCATGTGAGATTCACACATCAGTTAATTATGTGACCCTTTGTGTTTGCTCTTGGACCTGTCACATAGACTAGAAAAGGATTTAGCATTGTGTAGGATGTGCCATCACCAGGGGATCAGCGCAGGGGCTCCTTGGTGTCACTGTTCATCTGGCTCAGGTGCCAAAAGCCAGCTGGAGGGTGCCAGGCTCAGAGGTAACTCTGAAGTGGCCTTTGAAACCATTTCTCTGCCAGGTGTGCATCCATATCCCAGCTGCACATCTGGTGGATTCCTGAGGTCACCCCCACAGCTTCCTACACGTGTGGGGCAGAAAAATAAATTACACACACAGAGAAATGTTTATCTGACCTGGCTAGGAAATGGAAAATCAAGCAGGTGTTTCCTGTGTCTGCCACAGTATTTGGCCTCATTACCTGAGAATTTTATTTCCATGTGCTGATTCAGTCATATTTTGCAAATTTTGAAAAATTCTTCAGAAAGTAAATGAAAAAAAAAACCCAAACAAACCTGTCTAAAGAGCAGTTACAGAAGAGTTGGTCCCTGGAAGATACTCAGCAAAAGCTTTGAGAAGCTAAGCTTATGTATTTTACTTCTAAGCAGCTTTAGAGTTTATTTGATTTCTTTTGGCTAACATTAAAAAGAAATAGGAAAACTGCCTGCACTGTTAGCAGAAAATAAAATCCTGTTGCAAGCAAGCCATGTTTCCCTGCTATGCAATGGGCTGCTGTAAGATAAAAAAGAAGCTGACAAGTTTGCACTCAATTATGCCAAATAACCCCAACAACATAGAGCTGCATAACATCTGACAAGTTCTAATCTCAGCCACGCTGTATTAACATTGATTCTCACTAAAACTATTTAATGTGCGTCTAATCTGCTGTTTTACTGTAAACTTGACTGTTTAGCATTTCTTAAGTGCTGAGGTGAAATGTTGACAAGGGAGTTGCCTTATATCTCTCAAAACATTCACTGTATAAATGAGAAAAAATAAACCTTTTCATATCTCTGGAAAAGAAAAGCTGTATTATCAACGGAGCTGTATATTTGCATCTAGATAGACAGAAATGTGAATGCCTGACCTCGTGCACTCGTGCTCCTTGTGCTCCAGTGCTCTGTGCAGACGAGAGCGGCCGCTCGCTTTGATTCCTCACCTTCCTCTGATTCCTCACCTTCCTCGCACAGGTTGTTTACAGGGGCTGCCCCAGGCTGCCAGCTCGGTGTCACAGCTGCTGCTGTGTTCATTCTGGATAAACACCACCCCTGGATAAACACCACCCGTGAGT